ATTATTTATTTAGCGTTTAGAAGCTCATATGTCAAGGGCCTAAAATTTTGTTACTAGTATTATAGATATTTTGATCATTTTGAGTTATTGGAGTTGGAAATAGTTATTTTTTTATATTTTCTTGAACTTTTAAAGCTACCTAAGAATAGGCAATTTTGTTCATTATCATAATAAAACTTTTGACAAATAAATTTCATATTCTCTTTCTAAATTTGAGGGAATTACAAGGTTTATTAAGTCTTGTTCCAATTATCGACTTATCAGATAGACTTGTAGTATTTTCCTATACCTCGATAACGATTAGTAGGTGGATTGGGCAAGAAGGAGTTGAAGACTGTATTAGGGAAGCTTGGAACTCAAAAAAGAGAAGTAAAGGTCTCTATAATTTCCAGAAGAAGCTCAGAAATACCAAGATGGGATTGTTGGGGTGGCTTGTGCAAAACCATACAAACTCAGCCAAAGCCATCAAATCATGTAACCAAAAGCTTGAGATTCTGGGACAACAAGGTGGAAGGAGAGACTGGGCTGAATGGGAAAGTTGTAAGGGGCTCCTGCATAAGGCTTATAAAGATGAGGAAAGCTACTGGAAACAAAAGTCCAGACTCAAATGGCTCAGGGAAGGGGACAGTAACACCAAGTTCTTTCAAGCCTGTGTCAAACAAAGAAGATGGGGGAATTCTCTTGAGAATTTAGTCAACAGAAATGGTGTAAAGTGTAGAGACAGAACTGAGCAACTTCAGATGATAATGGAGTACTTTCAGAGCATTTTCCAATCTGCAAACCCAGACTTTATTGAGGAAGCTCTCTCAGGCATCCCAAACTCCATCACTACTGAGATGAACTTGGAACTCACTAAACCAGTGGATGAGCAGGAAGTTAAAGCAGCCCTGTGGGATATGGAGCCAAGCAAATCTCCAGGTATTGATGGTTTCACACCTTGTTTTTTTCAATCCTACTGGGAATTTATCAAAAAAGACCTTTGTACAGCAATTGATAATTTTCTCCATACTGGCTGCATTCCATCCTATACCAACCACACCCTTATAACTCTTATACCTAAAATTAAAAACCCTCAAAATGTCTCTGATTTTAGGCCAATCAGCCTCTGTACAGTAACCTATAGGCTCTTGTCCAAAATCCTGGCCTCTAGACTCAAGCATACTCTTAGATCTTGCATCTCTCAGTCCCAAGCTGCTTTTGTCCCTGATAGATTTATCCTAGATAACATAGTAATAGCAAATGAATGCTTGCATTTTCTCAACAGCAAGAAAAAAGGCAAAAAATGTTTCATGGCCCTAAAAATTGACATGGCCAAAGCTTTTGATAGAATAGAATGGTCTTTTCTTATTAGAATTTGCAGAAAAATGGGGTTTGGGGAAACTTTTCTTTCTTGGATTTGGGCTTGTATCAGCACTACTTCATTTTCTTTTAATATAGGTGGGCAAGCCTTGGGTAACATCATCCCCTCCAGAGGGCTGAGACAGGGAGACCCTCTTTCTCCATACCTGTTCATCATAGTTACTGAAGCCCTTTCAAATCTTATTAATAAAGCCTGTGTATCCTCTAACTACAAGGGAATCCAAATCAGTAAACATTCACCAAGTATATCCCACCTCTTTTTTGCTGATGATGCTTTGATTTTTTGCCATGCTGATCATTTCCATGCTCAAACCTTACTCAATATTTTGAATCTCTATTGTTCTGTTTCTGGTCAAGCAGTAAATTTGCATAAATCCAATGTTTTTTTCTCAGCCAATACTCCAGATGCCCTCAAAGCTGATATATGTCATATCCTTCAAGGTATTGTCATTGCTAAAAGCTCTAAGTATCTGGGCCTTCCACTGGGAATTGGCAGAAACAAAAAAGACACCTTCGCTTTTGTTAAAGAGTGTGTGAGTTCTAGAATTATGAGCTGGAGGAATAAATTCCTAAGTGAGGCAGGCAGGGAGATTCTTATAAAGACTGTATTGAGTGCTCTCCCTGTCTATGTGATGTCCATCTTTAGATTACCTGTGGGGGTTTGTCAAGATACCTGTAGAGATTTAGCTACTTTTTGGTGGGGGAAAACTGAGGAGGGAAAGAGTAAAATTCACTGGACTCTTTGGAGCTGTCTAGCAAAGTCAAAATGGGAGGGGGGTTTAGGGTTCAGAGACCTGTGTGATTTTAATGAAGCCCTTATCCTTAAGCAGCTTTGGAGATTGTTAACAAAGCCAAACTGTCTTATGAGTAAGGTTTTGAGAGGTAGATATTTCTTTAGGCAGAATTTTATGGAGGTTAGCAAGAAGTCTAGTGATTCTTGGATGTGGAAAGGGTGGCTAGATGCTAGAAAATCACTTGAGTTAGGCATGAGGTTTCAGGTAGGTTCTGGTAAGGCTATCAATTTGTGGGATTCACCTTGGATCCCTAACAGCACAAAATTCAAACTTGTTTGTCAATTTGCAGATGATAAGTTGCACTTGAAGAAAGTCTCAGACATAATGCTGGAATGTGGCAAAAAATGGGACTATGAGCACATCATGCAAACTTTTAGCCCATTGGATGCTGCAAACATCTTAAAAATCCATGTCAGTCAAACAGACTCCACAGACAAGTTGGTGTGGCACTCTGACAAAAAAGGAATGTTCTCAGTCAAAGAAGCATACAAGACTATCCAACACAATCACAAAATGAAGAAGGGATCCGAAGGCTCAAGCAGGAACAAAGACAAGACAATCAGCCACATCTGGCATAGAACCTGGAAGCTACCTGTAAAGCCAAAACTAAGAAACTTTTTATGGAGATGTTGGCACAACTGGCTGGGCACAAGAGTAAAACTGCATCAGAGGGGCATGGCAGTTGATACCAAATGTTGCTGGTGTGGAGAAGATGATGAAGATATAATTCACTTATTCTTCAAGTGTAACAGGGCCAAAAGGGTGTGGAAAATAGCAGGTTTGGAGTGGGTAAAGCTTAATCAGGATCACATCGACTACAGAGAATGGTGGGAAGACTTATGTTCCATGCAAAATTCTGTGGCAAATGGCTATAGGATTACTCTATCCACATATCTCCTGTGGTGGATGTGGAAAACACGCAACCATTGGATATTCAATAAGGTACACACCACTGAATTACAACTTGTGAAAGGGGCCATAGGAGAATGGTTGGAATATGATCACATCAAAAAGAAAAGTGCAAGGTCAAGGAGCAGAAACCATTGTGTGTTATTGAGACAAGGAGTAGGGGAACATCCTCAGGTTCCCAGTGCTAGTGTCCAAAACATTCACAAAGGGCATCTGATGTGCAAAGCTATTATAAATGGGAAGGAGCATGTTGTTGTATCTGTGACTGGACAGAAGGGGAACCATCAATGGGAGTACTCCTTACTCCAAATCAGAGAGTGGCTGTTAATGGGTGAAAGGGTGGGGTGGCAGCAAGTTGAAATTCAGGTGGGCTGTGAAATCCTTAGGCAGCATTTGATTAAAAAACTTGCTTTTGATTGTAATATAGATGTTTTGGCCTCTGATATTTTTGCTCTTATTCCCTCTTTCGAGGTAGTGGTTTTCTCTTCTGTTTTTTAGTTTTTCTTGGGTAGGCTGTTAGAATGGCCGTATATGGTCTTGTAGGGGAGTTCTGCCGAGGACTTCTCCTTTTGTTTCTGTAGCCAATTGGCTAGCCCTTGTACATTGTTGTCTTATTAATGAAATTTGATGTTTGGTAAAAAAAAAAAAAAAAAGATAGCGATTAATAGGACTTACGGATAGTTTATTGTCAGACCTCGTTACTAGTCAATTAGCCCCGTAGAACGAAGAAAATAAAGGTCTCTGCTGAAAACTAATATTTTAATGCTTTTTATGAGGATGAATATTGATATAGGATACTATATCCAAGGGAGTGAACCGGTCGAGTAGGCCGAGCAAGATGCCTAGTCGGGCAAAATCCGAGCAGAGCGGTCGTGGTCGAATATCACAGGATTAAGAGTTTCTGATCCAGACAGCTTAAAAGGGATTTTAGTACATGAAGAACAGATCGAGCTCGACATGCATCAACAAACGGTCGTCTGATGGACGTGCATCAACTGATTCACTCTGGTGTGAGAGTTGGTCGAAATCGACGAGCATCAACAAAAATCCAGACTCGACGTGCACGAACAAAAAAATCGACGAGCTAGAACCCTCGGATAACCTGGTAGAAACTCGACGTGCATCAACAAACGGTCGTCTGATGGACTAAAATCCAGACTCGAAGCACCTAGCGCTTCACCATAAACCGATCTAGAGTTGGTCGATCCCTCGAAGATAAGGCGGAATCTCGGGGAACTTAGGCCCCACATGGGCAAAGCTACGCGACATCATTCCATTGGTCCATGCTTCATAACTGCCTCTTACACATTCTGACAGACCAATTGTACTATCGGGCAACTAGGGCAGCCAGCTCATCACATTCGGGCAGTCTTTTAGAAACAGGTACTTCACCCCTATATATAGGGTTGAGATGTGTATTTTCAGCCATTACACTCATTATTACTTCATATTTTCCAAAAATCATCTTCTACCTATACTCATTTAAGCATCATAGGCCCTTCACCGAAAAACTCCTCCGGTGTGGGAGTTTTGGCAGGTCCAAAGGCGTTCAACTGGTGAGGGAGCACTCGAGAAGGCCATTTCCCAGCCGGTCGGAGGTTTTTTACGGACCATTTTGGCGTCGTCTGTGGGACTTTCGTTTGAAAAGTTGTGTTCCATCTATGACAGACGAAGTTTCAAGAAAAAAATTGCAGTCGTCGTTCGACGATGCGTGGACTACGATGAGGCCATTCAGAGTTGGCCCTCTCCGGGCTTCTCCAGACCTTCTCAAACCCCGGTGACTCCAACTCTTCCTCCTCAAGGTTTTGGGAGTCATCGGCGTTTCCTGTAGCTGAGGAGGGCTTGAGTCGGGCACAGGAAGTTCGAGCGTTGCAAGGAGTGGCGATGCTCGCACAACCCCAACCAGATCCAACCGGAGTTCAACCAGTAGGAACAATGGCACAGATGGTGGCACCACCCAGAGTGGGTGGGGAACGACCCAGTCAACAGGTGGTGGTGATGACCAGGGAAGAGATAGAGAGCATGGTTGTCACTACGGCAGCACAGGCGGTGCAACAAGCAACACACCATACCTCACATGCTGCTACCGAGCCGACCACGGTGGTAGGCGCACAACAAAACGAGGAGGAAGATGCGTCAATCTTTGGGGGAAGCGAGGCCCTGAGGGACTGAGCCTTGGAGAGTATGGTCGAGCAGTTGTACCAGCTGCAGGCCAAAGTGGATAGTAGACCAGTGGGACGTGCTCGAGGACACCCCTTCTCAAGGGATATTTTGGCAGCACCACTACCCACCAACTTTAGAGAACCAAACTTGACGTATGAATGGTCGGCAGACCCGTCGAGGCACGTGCGGTCGTTCGAGAACATGGCGATGTTGCATGGGTATTCGGATGCAGTAAGTTGCAGGATGTTTCTTTCGACCCTGAGAGGATGAGCACTTGATTGGTTTCATCAACTTCCCTTGGGGTTGATAAAGGATTTCGAGGATTTCGCTGAGATTGTTGAATCAGTATGCTAGTGCAGTAGCTCAAGGGAAAACGTATTTGACATTGATGGCAATGAGATAGGAGGAAGGGGAGTCTTTGAGGAAGTATGTGGCACGTTCAAACCAGGCATGTGTAGAGATTCCTTCGTCTTCTAAGCGTATTTTAATTTTATCTTGTGCGTTGTAATTTTTAATTTTATTTGTGTGTTGTAATTTTTAATTTTTAATAAATATTTATTTCTCCAGTTTTATTATGTATATGATTATAACTTTTTAATTAATTTTTTATTACATAAAGTCCAGATTAAATTTAAAATAATAGTGTGGTTTAATTTGTAAAGTTATAAAATGTATGGATAGTATTGAAAAGTTATAAAACTTGATATAAAAGAAAATATTCCGAGAATATTCTTTTGGGTTTGAGAATGAGTTTTTGGTTCAAGATGAATTACTCTTTGATGTGACAGTTACTGCAAAATGTGTTTGAGAATAAATTTTTCGGTTGGAGATGGCATTATGACAGGTATGTTCGAGCGAAAAAATTATGCATTGGTTCTGCCCTGTACTTTTTCTAATAGGTTTAATGCATTACTAACATGGCTGGTTTGCATACTATCACTAACTTTTTTTTGGGGGTACAAAAGAGAGGCTAGCGCCAAGTAGCGTTAGGGACAAACGTTCTGTGAGTAAGAGACACCTCTAACCTCGTGCTCCAGCCACGGAATGACACCGGCCGGTAGAGGTAAAAGATGATGAAGACCGAGAGAACTTGAGGCTGCGTGAGACGCCAAATCATTCGCTGTAAAATTCGCCTCACGAAAGATATGCGAAATCTTAATCTGTCAGTCCTAACTGAGTAGTTCTCTTATACTTAAAACCAAGCACGAATGAACACCAGTTAAAGCTTTTGTTTTATTCGCAAAGCCCATGACGTTGGCATTGTCGACTTAACCCATATTCCAAGCCATACTAAGACCATGAAGTAGATCCCATAACCCCGCTCCAATAATAGAGCACAACCCAATATTCATTGTGAAACTACTAGCCATCTACTATGAGTATCTCGAATCAACCCACCAGCAGAAGTCGTACTTGAGGATTTATTATAAGTCTTGTCAAAATTCACTTTAACCCAAGACGTCGGTGGCGCCTCCCAACAGATAAGACGCGGGACTCTGGAAGTAGTAGTACCTCCAAGTTTCTGATCGCCTTTTGCAAAAAGCATAACACCATTAACGAATTTTTTATCTAATTTACTTTACCATTGGCCTCCATCTCACGACTTTAAAAAATAGCAATATTTCGCCAATGCCATAGCTTCCACAAGGTCACGCCAAACAAGCACTCTCAATTGTTGACAGCAATAGAAGGCACGAAAGAGTTCAGTACGTAAGTTTGAAGCAAGCCACGCCTTCAAATCTAACATGAAGAAACTAAGCTGTACTTGCAAGGGAACAAGACGAATCCATACCTGGTAAGCTTCTGGGAAATCACAGAGAACATACAACAGACTTGTGGCAGCTCAAAGAAGAAGTTAAATGTCTCTATCCTCGCTCTACGTTAGTCAAAAGACAACCTTTCAAAACCAGCCATAAAATGTGACGAACTCTTTGTGGGTCGGGCCATCTCCAAACCGTTCTCCACAGACCCCGATCGTCAATCTCTTCCGCCGAAATGATAAGCCAATAAGCAGAGCTGGTAGTAAAATTTTCATTCCAAGAAGCCGTCCAATAGAGACGATCGTCTCCAAGCTCCGATCGAGGCACTAGCGTCCCTACAATTCTTAGGAGAGCCGAGGAAGGAATCAAGTTCCCGAACAAGTCCCATCTCTATATCTTATTATCAGCCACGAAAAAATTTACAGGTAGCTCCCTGAACTCCAGCGGGATTGGTGCTAAGGTTGCCTCGCATAGATTCCCATAACCATGTAACCATGCATCCAACTAGAACCTCGCAGTAGCGCCATTGCATACAGCCCATTTAGTTCCCGCCGAGACATGGCCCCAAACCTTTCGCGTGGCCTGCAAGACATTCGAAGCAGCTGACTTGCGGCTACTAGGATTAAAATGGTTAGCTTCATATTTAGCTTTCCACGTACGAACCCATAGAGCATCTGGTTTTGTCAAAAAAAACCAGCCCAATTTCATAAGAAGAGCCTTGTTGATCCTTCTTGATGACTTCAACCCCAACCCACCTTCATTTCGAGGCTTACAGACTTAGTCCCAACGAACTAGACTTAGTTTGCGCCGATCAAGCGTGCCATCCATATGAATCGGCAACAAATCTTTTCGATTCCTTCGCACAAGGAGTTAGGGAGCCATGCTGCCTGCATGGTGTAAAAGGGTAGTGAACTCACTACCGATTGAGCTAGAACCACTTGCCCCGCCATGGATAAAGATGTTGCTTTCCATCTTGCTAATCTTGATTCTGCCTTCTCGAGGATATGAGCATAAGATCGTTTATTAATTCTCCCATGCAGACGGGGGACTCCCAAGTACTTACCAATATTATCTACAAGAAAGAATCCCAATCTTCGAGCAAGTCCCATTGGATATCATTATCAACCTGGACATTCTTCGAGAAATAGACAGTGATCTTTGGCTCGCTAATTATTAGGATAGACTCGCCACAAAAATTCTCAAGTACCCTTTTTAGTATATCGACATGACCTCTATCCGCCTCCAAAAATAATAAGAGATCGTCGGCGATTAATAAATATGGAATTATTAGAGCCCCACATCCCCACACCATCGGCTTCCACCGAGCGGCCTCCACCTCAATTTGGATCGCATGTGCGAGCCGTTCAATACAGAGCCAAATAAATACGGTAATATGGGATCTCCTTGCCGCACCCCCACGAGACAGTCGAAATTCCACGCTAGGAATACCATGCCATAATATTTGTATTATGGAAAGGGCGTTACTATTCACCGCCCCCCATATTACTAGTCACCGCCCCCCTTGGACAATTTTGCCCTTCTCATTTTTTCTAAACATCTCAGAGGAAAGTGTACGGTGAAATGTCGTCAAATTCGGAGGTACGAAAAAATACGTGTACGGTCGCCGGTTCCGGACGGACTAAAAGCCGTCCGGACGCCGGAACCGGACGGTCCTTAAACCGTCCGGAACGGCCGGCCGAACGACATCAAAACCGGCCAGAAAGCATGGCCGGACGGACGGCTGCCGTCCGAACCGGCCGGCCGGACGGCAAGAAAGCCGTCCGGAAACGACGGCCGGTCGGAACCGGTCCATCCGGTTCGGCCGGCCGGCCGGAATTTTTT